TCTTAAGTGCTGACAAGATACGCCGCGCTTTCCCACCGTCTCTCGGTCATTCTATGGATCTGACAGTCTATGATGTTCCCGAATGACAATCACTCAGAGATCAGCGAGGGTTGACGCCAGCCGCAACAGTTTTCAGACTATGATATCCGCTGGGATCTGTCTCGAACATCGCGTAAATCTCTTTCCAGTCATAGAATATCGCAAACGGATAGCTACGAAACCGATCCACCGGGACTCGAAGATGCTCGCTGCTGGCTTGAAATTAATTTCAAGGTCAAGCTGTACTAAGGCGCAAAATTTCGGCCACTAGCCTCCTCTTCTACAGCCCGCCCATATCGGCGCTTATTAAGATGTGCGTTTATTCCAGCGCTTGGGACACATTTGAACGCCGGTGGCCTCTGGCGCACCCCGCGTTACACAGCATCCGAAGCCAATCAGATTTTCTTATCGTGCAATGCGCTGATCTAGATGCAACACTATGCAACAGCTCTGAAGATTCAGGTGAGTCATTCGCACGCTGCCGCAGATCAGGCGCCCGCCCTTCACTCTCTTAAATTGACCTTCACCGACCGAACGACCAGTACCAACTATGAATCCTTGGGGACCGAATCCATGGGCGCCACAAGCGTTCTACCAGCAGCCCGGCTTTGTCCCACAACAAACAGGCTTCCCCGCATATTGGAACCAGCCTGGATGGGCGCCTCAGAATCCTACCCCTGGTACGCTGTAATCAGACGTTATCATGCTCCATTTACTAACGTGTCATTCTCTTCCAGGCTTCCACTCGGCCAAGTACCCCAATCTCAACCCAATCCTCGCGTCCGATTCGACCCAGGTGAGGTACGATGTGCGTAAAAAAGCGCGAAACGAAATCTCGCAAGCGATATACGTGCCTCATAGAGGCCAGTTCGCCACGACGCCTCCTGCCTCACACGTCCGCCTCATATGCAAAGCCTTCCCGTGGTCGATCGAAGTAATGTCGAACACCCCGGTCACGGTCGAGGGTGTCTGGGATGCGATCTGGGCTGCTGTGCGTCCATTGCTTTTTTAATATCTTGCTGTTGTTGATTCCGTAAACCCGCTACAGCTTCAACAGCCTATAGTGGACTCGGAGTGGGGTATCATCGTTTCCGATAAAAAGTTGCGCGAGGCCATTGAGAAGGCAGCAAAAAAGCGATCTGAGTACGACGGCGAGCCGAAGCTCAAGCGTATCGACTGGCTGGGCTCGAGCACCATCTTCAGAGGCTTGGACAAGATGCCAGACTTTGCGGAGCAGCGATTATTGCCTGGCGGGGAGCCGTGTCCAGAGACGTGGGTCATCAAGCTTGGGTCGTCGTGAGGATATGTATCTGTACGGATTATACCTGTATTATTGTAACCCTTGATTCCCCTACTTACAGCATTTGCGTTTATGAGCTTGACAGAGATACTGTAGCTCAGATCTGCTTTGTTGTCTTGTGTGATTTCCTGAAGATTTTGATCGGCGCGTGCAAAAAATTTGGTATCTGCTTGTTCTCCACGATGGTATCCTTCCAGTTCGTTGCTCCTCATCGTCTCCCGCGACGTCAAGCTAAACAACCCTCTGCGTAGATGTCACGCCTGCCAAGACACGGTAAAGAAACCCAAGCTTGATCAACACTACAACCGCTGCTACGCCGGATTCGACTGCATCGACTGCTCAACAACCTTCAACTCCCCCGCAGAATTCAAAAAACACACGCAATGTATCAGCGAAGCTGAGAAATATGAAAAGTCTCTGTATAAGGGACCCAAAACTGGTGCTGCGGCTGCTACTGTGTGTCTGTTATCTTGCTATGCTTGTTCAGGGTTGATGTAGCGTTGAAGGCAGGAGCCGACGGAAAGAGCACTTATCCCGCACGACCGCAGAGTAATGCGTATGGGGCTGGGCGCGGGTGGTCGGGCGGCGCGCGGGGTGGACGTGGTGGGGGGAGAGGAGGGGGATGGGGCGGTTCACGAACGTCGGCGACTGGTGCGAATGATACGCCGTTAGGCACACCGACACGGACAACACCTCCGGTTCCCGTCGCTACCAGCACTGCTGCCACTACAGAAGAACCTTCGACGCAAGAGAACGGGGATGCTTCGACATCGTTGTCCAAGAAAGAGCGGAAAGCCCAGGAAAAGGCCGAGAAGGAGAAGGACAAGGAGGAGAAAAGGGAGAAGAAGCTGAAGGAGAGGAAGGAGAAAAAGGAGCAGAAAAGGGCAGTGGCTGCGGCCGAGGTAAGATTGCAAAAATTTTTATCGCCCTCCGATGCTCAAGTCGATTATCATACAGTCCGCTATTGCGGCAATTATTGTGGACGATAAAACTACCGCCACGACAAACGCCGATCCCACAAAAAATCGCAAGGAACGGAGGAAAGAGGAATCGGAGGCCAAGAAAGCTGAAAAGACGGCCGCCAAGCTTGCGAAGGCAAATGCCCCTGATGCATCGGACGCGCCTGGGGAATCTACGACACCGAAAAAGCGGAAACGCGATGCTGAAGACGAACCCGAAACGGTCGTGTCCTCGATACCCGAGTCCGAACCGGTGGAGAAGAAACGCAAGAAGGAGAAGAAGGAGAAGAAAAGCAAGGAGGTGGATGTCGTGGCGGAGGTGGAGAACGCTGCGCCTGTGGTCTCAGAAAAGAAGAAGCGGAAGAGGGAGGAGGGAGAGGCAATAGAGGTAACACCTGTCGATGAGCTGGTCGACAAGAAGCGGAAGAAGGATAAAAAGGCGAAGGAGGGCACGGTTGAGACTTCGGACGATGCACCGGTAGAGAAGAAGAAAGAGAAAAAGTCAAAGAGTCGCACAGAACTCGCCACTTGATTTGCTGTTTTGGGTTATTCATCGCTTTCGGTTCACACTACGCCTGATGGAGGAAAAATCATACATGGTTTCTAGTAAATCAATGAGGTTCATACAGATACAAGTTATTTTCTCGTCAGAGGGTATATTCCACGCACGCCACCAGAAATCAAAACGAGGTCGTCGAATCGACTTCGATGGTCGGCACGATAGAGGCAATGAACTTGAGGAATACGACGAGATAAAAGTCGACGCGCATGCCCTCGACGTCGTCGTCGCCTTCAGCGGAAGCTGCCGCCGCTGCCCCTTTATCGTCCTTGCCATTCCCACTGGTCTTGCGCCCGAACCACTTCTTCTTGCCGCCGGCGTCCTTGGATGTGGGCCCCTTGCGTTGTGCGAGCTGTTCGGCGACGACGCTGCTGTTCATGCGCTCGATGACCTTCTTCATGACGCTTGCGTGCTTGCAGGGGTGCACGGAGGCGGCCTGCAGAGAGGCAGAGTGAGGGAAAGGCTCGATTGTGACGGTTTTGAAGGCGTGGTCGGCGGAAACGTCTTGGAAGATTTGGGGAGGGGTGAGGGGGGTGCGATTCTTGAAGAGAGTTAAAACTAAGGATGAGGTTGAGCGCTGAAGGTCTCACCTCATCGTACCCAAGCAACCAGATGCGAGGGGTCTGGTAGTACTTGTCGTAGGTGATCATAACGTCGTACGTTCGCACTTGCAGAAGATTGCCGTTTGCGACTTCCACTTGACTGGGAGCGAGTTAGTGGTCCTCAAAAACAGATAATACAACACACCCAGCATCAATGGTCTTTGGCGCAACAGCGGCTGCATCGTCTTCCTCCTCAAGACCTTCCTCTTCCATATCAGGGATATCGTCGAGATCAGGCGTCTCGTCGGCGCCACCCAACGAAAGGCTACCGACGCCCTGAGTGACGCCTGCCTCGGGTGCCGCGTCTAGGTCGGGGATATCGTCGATGGTGCCCGGATTGGCGGAATCTAAGTTGGACTTGCGACCGGTATGGGTCTCGACCCATTCGTCGGCTCCGGTGGAGTCACCAAAAGACAACAAGCGTTCGGCATCCTCATCGGCGTCAGTGTAAGCTAGAGACGTTGCTCGGCGTAGACAGGGAACCCCTCGAGTGACCAGATATTGCTTGTCGGCGGGAAGGTAGTCTTTGGCCTTGGATGGGTCGCCCGCTTCCCTGACACACAGAGGGCTTGAGTATGTGGGTCGCCTCGTGCAAAATGCGCCACACTAACCAGGTCCAGACGGGAAACTTGTACGCTAGGAAATCTCCTGCTGCTAGGAATTCCTCTGCGAACGTTGAGACGTCAATAACTAGAGACACTACCAACGCACCAGGGGTGATACGGCCGTGTTCTTTGAATTTGCTCTCTTTGAGAACCTGAGAGCGATTAGCAGACGATGAACGCTAATTTAGCTACCTACAGGGCTCAGATATTCCCGTACGGACCAGAATTGTTGCTGGATAAGAATAAGCAATGAATACAGCGAACAGTCGACGATACTGACTGTAATGGCGTGCATTTGCGAGCAAGACCCAGGAGTCGCCGATTCCGATCGATCCACCAACAATTCACGTAATTCTTCAACTCTCCGCTTCATCTCCCATTGAGTTCCTCACCCATGTACTTCACGTCTACTACAAGTATAGCTCAGCTTCAGACATATCAATTCATATGGGTTTAAGCCTTATAATAGTCTTGGGCGTCAACTCCAAGTCGAAAGCTACGAAAATGGCATCCTTAGCTATAGGGTGACATCCACCCAACATCCCCCTCCCCCTTCCCAGCCTCTACCTGCCCTGCCCTCAAACCCAGTCTACATCCAAGCCCCGATGTCCCTCCAAGACCTGGACCTCGCTACTTGTTTATAAACTCGCGTTCGAGACGGTCTCTGTGACAATATATTATTCCCATCAAAACCAAAGAAATTCATTTAAACCAATTCCCCCAAATCCCAACCTTGTCCCCCCCCATCTCGGACATCAGCCCACGTCCTCCCCTTCCCTATGAACGCCCTCAATCTCTACCCTGCCGTAATCCATGGTATTTTCATCAAAATTCATCGAAAAAATCGATTTCTCGCTTGTTTTTGCTTTTCCTTGATTCCTTTTTGAAGATTCCACTTCCCTAGCACCTATTCAGCTTCCTATATCCCGTACTAACGGTCCGATGGTGTAGTTGGTTATCACTTCTGTCTAACACTCGATCAAATCACGTGATTTGTGAAATATTGTTCACAGGCGGTCCTCAGTTCGAACCTGGGTCGGATCAGTTTTTGCGTCCCTGGGCAACGAAGGAACCTTTTTACACCCCTTGGATCAAGTTCTGCCTCAGAATTCATGGTTATATCGTTTTCCCGAAGATTCGGAAGATCCTTGTCAACTGCGCGAAAATCTCATGAATAATGCTCTCTACTGTCTGGAGGTGGTGCGGCACCTCGCTAGGCATCCCAGGAATGCAGAATGTACTCTTCCCTTGGTCGTGGTGGGTGGGGGACCGTCGAGAAGTAAAGAATTTCCCGATTGGGATGCATGGCGTTGAGTTGCCTTTTTAGGATTTGGGGGCATCAAAAGTCCACACCAGCAGCCATTCAGTTGGTACCATCTCTTGAGCTCTTTCCAGCCATAGTACTCGCATATCTATGGCTCAGCATGTCGAAAATTTCAAAACGGCACTCGATGTGTCCAAAAGTGCAAATGCTGTGCAATTCGTTCTCTATGCGATGACCAACTACACCATCGGACATACATGACTTCTTCCTCGTTCCAAACTCTCCACGAATTACTTCCCAGTAACAACATTATAATAAATTCACGGGCACTTATCTATTATGTGAACGCATAAGAATTTCGCATGATCCAGGACAAGCCATTGCGAAGCCTCTCGACTATCTCACAAGACCAGCTTCATACGCATTTGAACCCCGATCTCCTTTCCGCATGCCTTTGCATCCGGGCGCAGTAGATACCACCTGGCGCGCTCATAATTCTTGTACATATCTGGACATCATGAAGCTGCAAGAGCACCATTTACCACTTGCCGTCGACTTGAGTGGTCTTCCTGCGACGCGCTTGGTCGCGACTGGAATTGAAGTGGAAGGATCCAACGTGGCGGGGCGCAGCGTTATGAAGCATATCCTTTATTTTTTCGTTCCGTAACAATTTCAAGCCCATAATTACTAGGACGTTACCGTTGACGAGAGAGGGGGCGTTGAGGAGGGCATGGCGCTCTAGTACGAGACGCCAAGATACGACAGAGGCATGCTCGTAGCCTTGATCGTTAAGACTCTGAGTGGCACCAGATTCGTGAATATCGTTTACGCGAACCTGCTGTACCTAATTTCCTGTGTAGAACTCCGAAGGTGCGTGGACATAGGTGGACATTGGCGGATTGCCAGAGTTCAAGTCGTAGACTAGCGTTGTCTTGAGGTATTCAATACAAGTCAAACAGCTTCAGGCGCAGACTTGAAGCAAAAAGTCACATAAGAGTCCACCAAAGTTCAATCGGGGGTCAGCTAGGCGTAGTTGCAAGGATTTCGTGGTCAAAGCGCCGATGTGGAGGTGGAAAAGAGTTCTCCATCAAAGATGCTGTGCGCCTGGCCCTTGAACCAAATCCACCAGTCACTCTCAGAACTCTGCACGACGTGCATCCACGTATGCTCTGAATTCGCTGGATTGCGCCGTACCCAACTACTGTGGATGCCTACCGGACTCAGAACCAACCTTCGGCTGGTCCGAAAGCTTACATATGACAACCGGAAAGGCTCGAGCATGGCACGGTTCCGGTAAGAAACCCTTGGAATAATCCCTGTTACGTCTCGGAGCCGCCGCACATCGGGATGTGCATCCGACATTCAAGTTTATGGGACCTTTCGCTACCCTTCGAGGCGCCGATACTAGGACTCCAGATCTACAAGTCCTGCGGGGAAACAGAAGAATCCACTTGTTCAACCAGATTCAACCTCAACAGGGGTCTACTGTACCGAGTGGAGCTGCTCCTGACTCGGACAACAGTGCAACACTGAAACCTACTGTAACGTGGCAGCCAGTCACCGTTTCCTTGCTGTCTGAGCCTGTCTCTCAATTTTTTGCAATGTATGTATTCCATGAATGATTGGCGACGACAGCGCCAAGCAGACTGACGACGTTCAGTTTCCGGTCAATTTCCGGTCGAGTTACCTACCGGTCGAGCGACAACCGGTAACCACAAGTTGAATCTCGTTCAACCCCAATTCAACCCTGTGCAATACGCTGTGGGAGGCTGGGAGTGCGTGAAGCAAGCAGCACACCCAGGCCATATACATACCACATGGCTGTCTCGTGGACATGGGCTTTTCTATTTTTTGGTCTCAGTGCCACCTGTCACGAACGTTCAAAAGTGTCGTATCCTCTCGTACACCCTCGTTGCCGTTCAATACATACTCCACCCGATGGTTTCAGCTGTTTTGAATTGTTCCAGCTTTTCCGTCCCGCTGCCGCAGATCTCGTTCCCGTGGCTCTCCCGCTCTCGTTCACTTCACCAATGAGGAGTCTACATCTTGATATCAAGATACTACCTGTTTCGACTGCTCCACTGATCAGTATCCTCCGGATCCCCCTCCCTCCAAAGCTGTATTTTTTTCAAGTCTGCGACCAGTTTGCTGATTACCTTTTTACCTCTGAATTTGCTTACCGCCGGCAAACAAGCGAGAAGGTTCCCGAGCCGACCAAGTGTCACCAAGTACCGGACTCGCCAGCATTGGAAAGGCCGCACCCGTGATTCCTCAAATAATCTAGCGAATGCATTGTAGATCCACCACCAATACGAAAGAAGCACAGTCGAGATGATGGCCACTGCTCCCTCCCAACCACATTTCACGGCCCTAGCAACATCTCGGCCCTCGGCGTCTCCTGGATTCACATAAAAGGCGTCCTCAAACCCAACTCGTTCTCCATTACCCCAGGTTGAACCACATTCACCTTCACTCACACTTCATTCAACAAATTCTCTTTCGTTGACTTGAACCATCTTGAAAATGCGTTTTGCCGTCATCGCCGCTGTTATCGCCCTGTTCGCCACCTCCGCCGTCGCGGTCACCCCCGTCCAGGGTCGTTGCTACCCCGACTACTGCGTACGTCGTTTCTCTGTCTCGGGCATGGCAATGTCTTACCTTGATTCGTATAGAACTGTGGCGAGAGCAGCTGCTCCCCTAGCAGCCCCGCCTGCTGCGCAGTAAGTTTTCGAAATCGCTGTTCCTTCTCTCTTGCTTGCTTCCTGCTTTCCACCAACTGACGTACTTCGTTTGCAGAACGGAAGCTGCCCCTGCTAAATTTCTCAACCGATGGCGGCACGCTTCTCTAATTAGTTGATGCTGTGGATTGTGTCAAGGATGTCTGCAGTAACTACTATGGGAAGAAAGAAATGCATTTGTACCATGACATTTGGGCCCACCTTAAGTGACTTGAGTGCATCACCGACCTACTACAACCGCACAGAACCAGGTCACTGCTCTGAAACTCGTTCGACCTTGACGAAAGCACTCAACGAAAGCAATATGTTGTATTTTTTAGGATCAGTACGCATAAGCACCCTACCACCCACCCTTCTCCTCGTTACATATCACCAAACCATATCCTACCTAAATCGTATACCTGAACAACGGACTCTCGCTCCCCATGTCCCGGTACTTCTCCCTCGTCTCCGCATCATTAACAATCCCATGCTGGGCACAGTACGCCTCCCGTTTCTTATTGATACGGTTGTAGTCCCACATGGCGAAAAAGCTGAGGAGGATGGAGAGGCCGAGCCAGCCCATGATGGTGCCGTGCCCGATGTGGAAGAATGGTGGCGTGATGTAGATGAAGGAGGAGCAGATGCTGGAGGGGATAGGCTGAGTCAGTAAACTTGAAAACGCTAAACTGAGAGGATGAGTGTGACTCACCCGCCAAGGTTTCCGAGACCGATGACCATGGCTAACACCACGCCTGCGATAGAAAATTGAAGAATGTTCAGGAACCAAGTGTGATCAGGGAAACCAACCTTTCCGGACGTCGCCACCCGCTATACTCCCCGCCCAAGCGAGATCTAACGCCAGACTCGTCAGTTATACATCCGCCACACCAAAGTAAACAACAACCCACCAACAGCGATAGTCGGGTACACCCCAACCGCAGACAATACCGCGCCCGCATACGCGGCCCCAGGCGCTCTCTGGGTATACAGCACAATATACCCAATCAGAGATACGAAAGCCCTACAGAAGGATCAACGATCAGTCTCGGAACCCCAACAAAGTAGACCAAAGATCAAAAACAAGAATACGTACATCCCAATAATGAACGGCCCTCGAAGGTGATACCTATCCGAAAGCAATCCCACTCCGATCGTCGCGATGCATCCGCAGACGAAGGGCGGAATCGTGAGCAACTGTGCCCGCGCGGCGGAGTAGCCGAGCTGATTGACGATAGTTGGGGTGAACAGGGCGATGGCGTACACTGGGATGAGTAAACCCTGTATCAATCAAGTCAAGTCAGACGCCGGTTTCACGCTTGCATCGACACCACCGTACCATGTATATGCCGATTTGGACGTAAGTCTTGTAGTCCAACATCGCTTGCCAGACGAACTTGTGGTCGTAGTGCGTGGCGAGGTTTTGTTGGTCTTCTTTCAGCATGTAGACGACTTGCGCGCGTTCCGTTTCGGTGAGGAAGGTGGCGGTTTCGGGGTACTGGAGGATTGTCGATAAATGAGAAAGGTATGAAATGATTTGAGGATGGATATACATACATCGTGCATGTAGAAGAAGGATGCGAGAGCGACGAGTACAGTGACGATTCCTTCCAGACAGAACTGTATAGGTTGTTAGCAGTTATACAGACATTTAGTTCGCTGATGAGCGACCACTCACAATCCATTGCCAGCCATGAAGATTGCCGACACCCTCCATCTTTTCAATCCCGAATCTAGGCGGACAGTGAGATGCTCAAATATTATCTACAGATCAGCCAGTCTACTTACGCAAGGATTCCACCGAATGCTCCAGCGATTGTGGCTGCGGAGAAAAAGATCGCGACGCGAGCCGCTACATCGCGTCGACGATACCATAGGGAAAGATAGAAGGTGATCTAGGTATGGAATAAGTATGAAATCCGTATCGTGAACAAACGACGCACCCCAGGGAAGAGTCCGGCCTCCGCTAAACCGAGGAATATTCGAGCGCTGATGGTTCAGTCAAAAATGCCAACTCAAGTCAAGAGAGTCAACAAATTCGTACATGATAAGATCATGGTAGT